CATTTTGGACCGCCTTCAAACCCTCCTCGGCAGCCGGCAGGCCTGTTGCGGCCTCTCTGTGGCCAGGCATTTTGGACCGCCTTCAAACCCTCGGGTGAAGCAGTTGGCCAAGCCTAGCAGAACCCTTCCAAGCACTTCCAAAGGCCTGTCCGAGGCCTCGCCAGCTGGCAGGCCTGCTGCGGCCTCTCTCTGTGGCCTGTCCGAGGCCTGCCTCCTCTCTCGGCAGCTGGCAGGCCTGTTGCGGCCTCTCTGTGGCCTATCCGAAGGCTGCCTCCTCTCCTCTTATGGGCTTCCGAAGGCGACGTTAGGCATTTTGGACCGCCTTCAAACCCTCCTCGGCAGCCGGCAGGCCTGTTGCGGCCTCTCTGTGGCCTGTCCGAAGCCTGCCTCCTCTCTTCTTATGGGCTTCCGAAGGCGACGTTAGGCATTTTGGACCGCCTTCAAACCCTCCTCGGCAGCTGGCAGGCCTGTTGCGGCCTCTCTGTGGCCTGTCCGAAGCCTGCCTCCTCTCTTCTTATGGGCTTCCGAAGGCGACGTTAGGCATTTTGGACCGCCTTCAAACCCTCGGGTGAAGCAGTTGGCCAAGCCTAGCAGAACTCTTCCAAGCACTTCCAAAGGCCTGTCCGAGGCCTCGCCAGCTGGCAGGCCTGCTGCGGCCTCTCTGTGGCCTGTCCGAGGCCTGCCTCCTCTCTCGGCAGTTGGCAGGCCTGTTCTCCAGCCACGCAGATAGACCTGCGGCCGTCCACAGGAAGTGCTACAGTCAGCACCAGGGCTGCCGCAGCACAAGCCTTGCTGGCTCAGCACCTGGGCTGTCCAACAAGGCCCCCGCAAACAGCTGCCAGTCTATTAGCACAGCCAGAACAGAGGCATTGCTACTTCGTTTTCTTCTTTTTCTTCTTCTTCTTCTTCTTCTGCTTCTTCTTCTTCTTCTTCTGCTTGCCATTCTCCAGCCACGCAGATAGACCTGCGGCCGTCCACAGGAAGTGCTACGGTCAGCACCAGGGCTGCCGCAGCACAAGCCTTGCTGGCTCAGCACCTGGGCTGTCCAACAAGGCCCCCCGCAAACAGCCGCCAGTCTATTAGCACAGCCAGAACAGAGGCATTGCTACTATGCTTCTTGCTGCCTGTTGCTAGTGGTTTTTCTGATCTTGTGATGCTTCTGGGTCTTCTTCTTAGTGCCGCTGCTGTGATTGCTGTTGTTGGTGTATATCCTGGGGTCGCAGGGCACAACCTTGGCATTGGCATCTCCACCTTTGTGGGCTTTAGCGCAGGCCACAGCTAGCCTGTCCGAGGCCACGCAGCCTTGGCGTGGCCTGAACTGCCACATACGATGCTAACCGCCGAGGCCACCCTCTTCTTTTCTAGGCTTCCGAAGCGACGGCCCCCCTCAAACGTTTCTCGGCGCCTCGCAGGGTGCAACCTTGGCATTGGCATCTCCACCTTTGTGGGCTTTAGCACAGGCCACAGCTAGCCTGTCCGAGGCCACGCAGCCTTGGCATGGCCTGGGCTGCCACGTACGGTGCTAGCAGCCGAGGCCAGCCTCTTCTTTTCTAGGCTTCCGAAGGCGACGGCCCCCCTCAGACGCTTCTCGGCGCCTCGCAGAGTGCAACCTTATTGGCATTGGCATCTCCACCTTTGTGGGCTTTAGCACAGGCCACAGTCAGCCTGTCCGAGGCCACGCCTAAGGCTAGAACACCATCTTCTTTCCGCAGACGGGCAACCACCGGAACGACACTAACGCCTTCAGTTACACATGCTACACTCCTCTTGAAAAGGGGTCGGCGGCACCCGGGCGAAGCCCTTACAATATATACATCTTCATGTGCACTGTTGATAAATATTGATGAATCAAACACCTCCCGCCTACCAAAAGGGTTTATATCTTCATGCCCCGTAGTTTTTGTTATATACATGAATTCTTGCGTCTACGTTCATCTCTGAACTCTTTGTGGGGTTCCTACTATAGGTGAGGAGTCTTCTCCTGTGTTTTTCCACCTCAACGTGACCATGTTCCGCGACCAAGCCTTCCCTCGTCTTTCCCTTTTCGTCGACGGATCATCTCCAAGAAGCTGAGCAGTGACCACGGACGCTTGTCCGTCGGGCAAGGTTTGCTCTGCGAGGGCGGGCCCATCTTTGATGCCTGGACCGACACGTGGCGTGTAACGCAGGACCGACCCGGTGATTCACCCCGCCCTGGTGGGGGGAACAGGGAACCTTTGGAGGAAGGAAGAATGCCAGGTAGCATATGGCTGTGGGTGCCGTGGGTGCACCAGACCGACCAGTTGACCTGCCCCGTGTCGGTCGTGAAGAGTACATGGTAGACGAGGGCTCCAGGTCTTGATCCATCCCTAAATGCCCAGGGATCCAGTCGTACCTTCTCCTCAGGTACGGTGATGTGTTCGACCATGTTATGTAGGTGCCAGTTTCGGGTCCAGTCGTACCGAACCTGAGGTACGGTACTTGGATCCCTAGGGTATGAGTATATATGCTAAAATAATCGAACATATAGGGAGACCACTGGACTTCCGAACATGAAAGCGCTGTTTCTGGTCACAAGAGGAGCGTGTTTTCTAGGGAGATCAGGGGTTGAACTGGGGTAGTCACCATATCCCAAACACTCCATGGGACTGCAATAGGTGCCATTGATGCCTGAAACAACCACTCTGATCGGCATATACTGCAGTCCCATGTAGTGTCTATACCTATTGGAAGCTCAACACCAGACGTATGTACGCTCTATCCATCAACCTATCGACAAAAGCCATCTATGTGGTCAATGCGGTGGGCCAACCTGCACTGGACGGTGGAGCTGTCTGTAGACTCTTGATGAATAAATTCCCCCAAGCCTGAAGAGACTTTGCAATCCATGTTTGGGGGGGGCCATTCATCAAGAGTATGGACATTATGAGCAGAAACCAACATGGTGTTGTCTTGTGCTTGTGACAGTGCAAAGTACAAGTCCATTTGGAAAAGTCATGCGATGCACCAAAAAAACAACGTTTAACAAAAAAAACACGATCACCCCCAACGCGCCCAGGTGCCCATGCTTCCATTGACTCACGTTGCTCCAAAATCATGAGTCCCGGATGCTGCAACTCAGCAGCACTTTCTTAACATTTTGGGACCCTTCATGATCAGTGCCGACTCCCTCAGTGTCCCTTGAAAACAAAGGGTTTACTTTTTCTGCAATCTTCGAAAAACGGTTAAAGGCTATCCTCTGACTGGGTAGCAGTGAGAGTGTTATACCCCCCCAAATTCACCCTTGTTCATCCATTTTCCACCGTGCCATCAAACGGCAACCGTGCACCAAGTCCCCAACAGTTCCCAAGTCCCAAGTTGCCAAGGGTCCCAGTGGTCCCCAAAAAGGGATGCATTTTCCTGAACATTCCTGCTTGGTTTCGAGGTGTTCTTCACACCCGGAGCGCTAAAACCCAAAGACCAACAGCCGCCGAGTCACCAATCAGCGCATAGGACCCCCGGTAGCTCAGCGAATCGATTAAAGTGGCACCACCTCGATCTAGATCGCGGTTTTTCCGGTTCCGGCCGGTTCCAGGAAAGTTGGAAACCCCAGGGTCCAGTGGTGCCTTTTCTCACCAAAACACTGGCAGGTGAGGAAAATGGTTTGTGTTGCAAGTCATCCGGATTTGCTGAGTGTCTTATCATTATCCATGTCTCTACTTCACATCACCATGTTTGGTTCGGTTGTGATCGTTCAAGCAAGATATGCATTTTGAGATCCCACGACCATTTTCAAAAATTATGGCCCTAGATTTCTGTCCATGAACCTTGCGCATGCGCGATCAATTTCTAATGAATATACACCTTGAAATAAATATGGATAGACAAGTCAAATTCCCAACAAATGGAACTGTATAATAATTGAACGTCATAATGTCCATCCAATCTTTTTGGATCCAAAACGAGCAAGAAGGACAACTCAGCGGCCAAAGACGAGGCGCAGCTTTTCATTGCATCTTTCGCTGCTGCACTCATGTTGGACATGGCCTCGTCCTTGACGCCACATGCAACCACCGTGCCGCTCGGCAAGGCAGCCATGAAGGCCACCAAAGCTTCTGAGCCTGTCAAGGCTCAGTCTGGAGGTCAGTTCACTGGTGAAACTCTTGCCACAGTTTCCCCCCAAAAAAATGTGAGGGTTAGGCTAGGTTTTCATAGGTTTTCATGGCTTTTCGGGCACCTTTTCCGTCCTTTCTGGCCTTCAGAAACTGACCACCGAACTCCGACGTGTCGGACGGACGGCACGTGTCGGACGGTCGCCTGCTGCGTGGGTGTCGAAGACCTGAAAGGAGTCCAGGAGTCCTGAGCGCGACCGTCCGGGTTGCAACCACCCTATGGACAGTCTGAGCCAGGTCATGGTCTTGACCTGCCTAAGTATTTAGTTCGTATGGCCATCTCCAGTAACATGAGGTATTTGACTTGTAGGGAAATAAATGCCACAAAAACGAAGGAGATGGGTTGCGTGAAACCAAGGGTGCCATTGACTCACATGTGAAACAAACACGTACAAACTGTTGAAAGGACAAAATGCGTGGAAACATCTTAAGGATGTCTGGTAAGCCCGTAAGCCCTGACAAGTAGATATGATGATTGCTCTCTACTGGCCAAAACAAAACACCTACCTGGACCACCCACGTGTCTTGGGGGAGTTTTGAACCAGTACAAGTGATTACCTACCTAGAAGCAAGAACCAAGCTCTTTCTCTGGGGGTTCATAGATTGACAAGGTAAAACCTACCCAGATTCCCACCAAAATTCGGTGCGATGTTGGTTCTTGGTTCCAGAGAGGTATGAGTACCTCTTAGACCAAACACCGGAAAACAATGCAAACATGACCCACCCCTGAAAAGGAACCTATATTAGTAATACTGTATGTAGATGCGAGACAAATGAGAATACAATTTATTATATATAGTTTGCAGGGAAGTATGTTTGCTAGACACAGGTAGGGTCCAAGCAATCCTATTACATTAACTTCTTTTTGTCGCTTGATTAATGTTTCCTCCCTTTGCTGGTCGACAATCTTCAATAGCGACAAGAAGGACAAAGCCAAGCCAAAAAGTAAGAAATGTAGGGCAAGAGGCAATCTTATCGAGATTGGACGAGTTTCTGGAGGAAAGGGGGGGAGAGTGAGTCGATTGATCTGTAAGGAAAGAACCTCAATGAAGGAGAATGACTAACAAAAGTTCGTGAACTGATTCGGAATTGAAATCTTTCTTGAGGATACAGTAGGATTTGTGGTCATCAAGCAACAAATACAATGAACCACTGTGCATTTATGTGCATAGACCTAATCCTCTGAACGAGTTTCTTTGTTCAAACTGTTGTTGCTTGGCCAGTGGAATAGGGTGAGTTCAAAGTGAAGCATATTTTGACTGTTGACCTAACAGTTTCAGTTACAGTTTCATACATTCAAAGGAGCTTTCTACCTGCCTGCAGTCAACAATGCATGATAGAATCCGATTGACAGGGACACGTCCAAATGAAGTTTCTACTGCATAGAACTGTTGGTTTGAGAAACCAATAAGTTGAGCAATGTTTTGTATAACTGTCTGATAGTAATTATATGTCAGTATGGTGCCTTCCAAAAAGGATGATTCCAATTTGCAGGATTTTGCAGGGGTGAAGACTTGTTGGAAAGGAGAATACTATAATATGTTCGAACAAACATTTCAATTATTGAGACCACCACGGCCGAAGAAACATGTCGGAGATGATACGATCGACGACGTCAGACGTGGCATTCCCCAACCCCAACGATGGAAGGATGAGATGTTGAAAGATGTTGAAAGGCCTTTGCAAGGTAACCGGTCACCAGTAACCAGGATGGGTCTGCTTAGCATGTGAAGGGAAAGTGACCCTGGGACCCTAACGATGAGCTAGACTCTAGAAACATAGGCTGAGTGAGTAAGTGTGTCGAGAGAACACCTCATGACAAAGGATTTGCCAACGGAATAGTATATAGTTCAATGAAAGGCTTATCAAAACTAACCATTGAAGGCTCTCGTAAAAGGACTCGTTCTAATTAAACGTGACCGTGACGTGATGTTTTCCAAGACAAAGAAAGGCACTGGATACGGAAGTCCTATGTTCTCAAGAAGCGCAATAGAACCCTGCAAAGCCAAACTTGTTTTCTCAAGTCTGATTTCACGTTGCACATGCCTCGCGCCAAAACACGCACCGAGCAACCTCGCGCCAAAACACCGCGCGCGAGGTATGCCGCATGGCCGCGCCTGCTTTGATGACTGCCACGTTCATTCCACGGTCTGTTGCAACGCTCTGCACCACGCCGTCTAGGTGAAAAATCACCTCGTTACCAGCGCTCCTGGTGGTGGCGATCGACTTCGCCCAGTGGGGCGTGTTCGCGAACGCACGCACGCGCGCGGTAACCAGTCAGTGCCGAGATGTTCAGGGGAGTGGAAGACACTTTGGAATGGCGAAGGTAAACCTTGGTTGTCTCAGACGGAAGGTCAGTGGATCCAGGAACCCCCAATGGATTTGGGCTCTCCTCCCTGGTCCAACTATAAGAAATAGGCTGTGGGTCAGGACAGGTAGGTTGACCAACCGGACACGACCTACTTGGAAGAGTCGCGGAGCAGGGCGGAGCAGGTTGAAGGACTCATCCTGAAATCATCATGGTGCGCGTCAGTGGATGGGGGTGGCGTCGTTTACGACGCCCCCCACCGACTGGGGACCTTGGAATCCGAAAAACGACTCCAGGATTCTGTCGAGATCGACCGGAACCAACTTCGCCCAATGTCGTGATGTCTTGGATCAACACTATAAGGCAAATCAGTTGGTTCCATCGACTCCAAAACCAACGGCTTAGGCGACTGGGGGGATTCCAAGTCCATCACCACCGTCCAAAGCTTCACGACGAATGGGTCTGGCGCCGAACACGCATGGCCGGCCTGATCAGGCCCGAAGGCCCAACGCCCGAGTCCGATGGGCGGATTTCATGAGTTTTTCGGATCCAGTGATCGATCAAAAGCATGGTGCTGATCCATATATTTCTTCAACCCCCCCCTTCCCTTGAGAGCTCAAAGCATGGTGAGTCGGCCCACAATTGCCTTCCTCCGCATGTGTCGCGCTTCTTCCGCCCGGACGGCACCGTCGACGGACGAGGTGCCGAGCGGTCCTCGAAGTACTGTTCACCTGATCGCATCCGCGGTCGATCTGCGTAACAAACGAGAGCTCACCGGGAGCTAGAGCGGGGTGGTGTGGTCTGGACACCCCTATTGACCTTCTAAGAATAGACAACCCTTGGGGGGCCTGGCATATTCTATGATTGGTAATCACATAGTTATATCATGTTATATCTATATATATAGTTGTATATATGATAGGATCAAAATATAGGCAGATTTGCAGATTATGATAAATGCTGTCGCGTCATGGACTGTTCCTCATGTTGGCTTGTCTCATCATAATTAGTATCTGGGTACCTGCCACAACATTGCGTAAACCCAAACAAACACGACATGACAGCGGATTCCTGATGGGCAAAGCACGTCAATCAAACACACCCATGACTAGACAGGACACGACGTCTTTGGATTGGAGATAACGAGTCAGATATCACTGATATTCTGGATTTTGATGGTGAAATACAACGCCTCTCTTTCCAACTGCAGTCTTGGAACCACGAGGAACACCTTCTTTGCAATAACTAACTAATCCAAACTCTGCGCACAATGCATCTTTGTCAGGTCTTTGAGAGTGCCCAACCCTGTAGCTTGGACACTCCGATCTTTTCTGGGTTGGACCAAATGGCTGCACCTTTTGAGTCTATCAACATCTGGTCTATCAACGTGCCACCGATCCACACCCACCGCCGTTCGAAGATGGCTCTTCATATCTCAGCCGACTCAGCGGTTCATCGACTCAGTGTCCAGGACCCCCACGACCCCACGACGCAGTCCTCTCCAAGACGCCCTATAAAGCTCCTGTCCCACATCCTCATGGTTTCCGGAGTTTAGGGCAGGTCTGTGAGACGGCCGTCTCTGCCCCGAACCTGAGGATCTGGGACAGGAGCTGAAAAGGGCATGGTCTATCCGGTCAACGGTCATGCTTCCATGCCGTGTGACCTTGATGGTATTGCTCTGCGTTGGGGCAAAGCTCCCAGAAGCCACTGCGATGTCTCCTCCGTCCTCGAAGCTCTTTTCGTCCACCGCAGTGCCTAGGAGGTCAAAAGGACGAGTGGCACTGCAGTGCTGCGACCGCAGCTGTTGGGGGATTTGGAGTGGGAAAAACCCACGAATCGTCGGGTCATTTAGAGAGGGAACTGACTGTGAGGATGGGAACGGAAGGGAGGAGTTGAGCTCCTGATCGGATTGACCTCTTTTTGGCCAGAGCCAGATGACGTTTGAGCAAAAGGTTGGTTGTTGCCTCCCCACGTCCGAGTAGTGCTGGACAAGCAGCTGCTGAAGCTTAAGAGAGACCCAACTCGCCTTCCATTCGTGGTGTAAGGCTTAGCATCTATACAGTGTTTAATGCTGCATTTGCAATCTGGTCTGTGAGGCCAGACCAGCTACTTGATCGATGTTTGGTGTCTCAAGGCATGTCTTCCAAGTGATTTTGGCAGCAAAAAATAGCCAGAAACACACAGTGTAGAACACCAAGCACCAAGCTTCCTCTGATGCAGTCTAACAGACCTTGGCATTGGTAGCGCACCCTGACCCGCTAGGCCCGGACCCTCAAATCGGATCTCTTTCTACCAGGCATGATGCTCACCAAGTGAGCTTAAATTGCATTCACTTCCAAGCCCATTGGTCCCTGACCCCGGAGGCTTTCCCATCAAACCCCGAATGATGTCCCATCAGTTTCCCATTGACATCATCACTTAAGGGATTGTGTTATGGTTAGGTGTTCCGGTGTTCCAAGGATTTATCTGAAACATGAAGAAACATGAATTTCAACAAGCACAGTTTGTGATTTCAAGATCGGTCCTCCATAGTTCACATACCCCCAAAAAGAGCAGGTGTCTCAGGTGTCTCAATGAGGGGAATCTTCACATATCACAGTCATAGTCAATATCTATTTGTGTATAAGCTGATATGATATACTGTGATATAATCCAAGTTACGCCCACTCCTGCATACTCCACCAACATATCACCAAATGCTCCAAAGTATTCCAAGGTGCCATCCTTTACACCAATCAAGGCATAGGATCCCCGGTAGGTAAGGCTCTCGATCATGGTTCCGCCGCAGCTCTTGATGGCATCCTGCGATCGATTCGTCTTTCCATCGGTGCTGGGGGCTTACGGAACGACCAGCGAAGTCCGCCGCCCGCATTGGGGGAATGAAACACGACATGGATTGATGGGCATTGGGATAGATGGAGATGCATTGAACAACCATGGTTTTACCATGTCCCACTTTCCACCATGTTCCAACAGGTCAATCTTTCCTTTTATGGTCTTTGAAGGCCACAGATGAGTCCCTCCACCGGAAGCATCTCCGAAAAGACCGTTATACAGGTATTCTCCCCAGGCATATTACAGGAACAGAATATGGATTCACGGTGTTTTCTCTGTGTTTCCACATGTTTCCACGTGTCTGTCGGGTGGACACCCGTGCCCGAAAAATGCGGCGAATAGGCTGGTTCAATCCGAGCATTCCACGTCCGATGACGCCTTCCATCTTGGGAAACAAACGGCTTCAGCAACAAGAAGCTACTAGTAACAAGCGCATTCCTACTAGCAGCAAGAAGCTACTAGGTGGAGGCCATCGCAAGTAGGTTGGAGGCCATCGCCACTACTAACAAGAAGCTACTAGTATACAAAGGGCATCACTACTAGGAGCAAGAAGCCACATTTGACCGTGAGAAAACCCGACCATTCCATTTCGGGGTGCCGCACGAACGGAGGTGAACGGGGTCCCCCGAATTCACATCCACTTACTGGATGAGTCTAAGAACCACCCCTGTGAAACTGCAGGTATATATGAATTCCGTTCTTTCTTTTGTCCAGCCTAGTCTATTTCCTGCTCTTCTTTCATCCTTAAGAATTCCAGGTCTGAAGCAAAGTTCTTGATCATGTTCACCAACCCACGCACGTCAATTATCATGTCACCATCTCTGAGTCGGGCACCTTGGCAGCTTGCGTCATGTTGCTTTGAGCATCATCACCTCGCGTCCAACGCAACGCACCACGTCCATTGGAGCGCAAAATATAGGAAAACCATCCATCGTCGTCATCGTTTAGACGTCTGGCAGATGTTTTTCCTCACGAACGAGTCAGCCTGAGTCAGTAAAATCAATCCTCCCAAGGTTTCGCATCAAACTGTTTCACCACCCTTACATGAACGAACTGCCGAACGGCCACACCGGTGTTGATCCGAGTTACGGTCAGACTGTATAGCAATCGTACGCAGTCGTAGGTTGTTTTTTCGGTGTCGACGACTCATGAGGTGGCTGTAGAGACCGTGTTCTGGACACATCGATGGAGAACATGACATCTATGTATTTCATGGATTCAACACCCGCGCAGGACAAAACTTCAGGACATCTTGTTCTAACATGTATGCATACAAACCCACCAACAAACATAAACAAAAGAACTCCAAAACCCTCCAACATGTTTCTTTTCGTGAAAGCAGCGTGGAACCGGACGCGTTAATGTCACTGTGCTGGGCCTCTAAGTACCTCCGCAATCGGAAGGCGAAGACCCCAACCAACTTCAAAAGGCCCTGAAATGCTGAAATGCTAAGCAAAGCTGATGTAAGCTGATCATTCTCTGGCATTCCAACAGTCCCTCAAATGTTGGCACCGCGTTGAAGTCGTCGCTTTGCTTCGGTGCGCTGTACAAGTGGTGAGGATCTCGATGCGAGCTGGCCCTCCATCTCCGAAGGGAAGGGGAGACCTTCAGCGCGAATCAAAAGATGGAGGCTGTGCGCACGATGTGCTGCCAGTGGATTCTGAGTCGCATGTGCTTGCTCGAACCATGTGGCGCGTTTATGTCCAGACTCAAGCGGCTTTCAGCCTGTCAGAAGTGGCAAATGTCACTTCTGCGTGGCCTCTCTCCGAGCTCCCCTTGTCTTGCACCGTTTGGTTCGGCCACTTCGATGGTAGCCTCAACCAATTGGTGCGTGTCATCTCGCAGTTTGGCCATGGGATTCTGGCCATGCAGTCGGCGCTGACGCCCCTGCTGCGCGGTTCCGTTTGACACCAGCGACCCTCCCAGCCATACCCGCTGCTCGGCGCCTGCGACCTGAACCCATGTTGTCTGTATGGTTCTTGGTTGCTCTAGCATTGGAGCTATTCATCGGTGTATATCATTTCTGGGCCAAAAGCCCTGGTTCCAAAGGAATCCAGTCTTCGTGTCTTCTTGGACGGCGGACGGACTGGGCCCCCCTTCTTCGCCCCGTTCGCCCCGGCGTGTCGGTTCCGTGGGGTCGCTGCGGAACCTGCACCGACTGAGTCAGGCACCCTCCCGAACGAGGAAGACGATTCTTCCTCTACCTCGGGTGAGTTTGTTATGCGATGTTTGGGAGGGTTCAGCATGGTGTAACCTGAACAAAGAAACCAAAACACCTGAACCTGCTTCGCATCCTCGCATCAAGCCTGCAGCTATCAGAAGCCCAGCTCCACCCTATCTTCCGGCCTCCACCTCAGATCTTCCGGCCTCAACCTGGTTGATCCCAAAAATGAAGAATTCCCATACCTCTTCCCCTCCGACCTCTTCCCGTCGCCCCACTCCACCGGGCTTCCCCGGCGCGCGGCGAAGAGCACCAGCGAGCCGCTGGGCTGGGCGGCCACGAACGCGGCCAGCGCTTCGGACCCCGCCGCATGGGTGTCGAAGACCTGCTTGGGACCGCGCGGAGCGAAGGCGCGGAGAGGGAAGGCAGAGAGATGCGGAGAGCGAGGTAGACGGGTTTGTGGGGTCTTTTTGGATGGGGGAAGGGGCTCAGGCACGGGCTGCAGGTCTTTTTTCAATGTGGTGGTTTTATGGAAATGGCCTGGCCAAGAGTCTTCGGGAATTGAGCCCTAGAGGAGCTCTGGGGGGAATGTTGATATACAAGTGTGGGCCTGGCAAAAGAGCGGGGTCGCCCGTCGCCCTGCAAGCTTGTACTTGCTGTTCGTGATGGTGATGCGGATGGCTTGGGTTGTACCAACAGAGGTTGAAGGACCCAGATTCGACTATCCCAGTTCGGTACCCCACGTTCGGACCCTATATAGACGTCTGTAGATCGAATCCGTAGGGGACTGGAATCTTCACCATTCATTCACGCATCCGAACTGCAGCCACCCATCCGAAGGACGGGACCGGCAAGGGTCTTTGAGTTCCATGGAATGTGGATGTATGTGGCGTTGATGGTATGACGGAAGCAATTTTTCTCTGAAAGCTTCTCACCTGAAAAGCAATGACAACTCATGGACCCGGGCCTGGCACTAATTAAGTTGTCAAGACCGATAGGTCTTAGGTCAGAGAGACCCCCTTTAAACAATGGTGGACTGCAACTCCCAGGGGTTCCCTATCTCAGGTGGTGTCAGTGTATTCTTGGATCTGCTTAATTCAGGAGCCGGAGACAAAAAGAGATCCGCAGGTTGGAGGATGCACCCAGTTCAGGTGAAAATGGCCCAATCCGCAGAACTGTGAAGTCTTTCTTCAACATGTACCTGTCTCAGTGGATCCAATCACCACTACAATAGGCAACCACTGGTTCCAAAGACTAAAGCCGTGGACCGACGAATGGTTGACCTGTTTTTGTAAAATATGTATATAAAACATCGTATATAAAACTAAGGGTTCTTCTATAAAGACTCTGGTTTCCTAGCAAATCTCTGGGTGCCTTCACCTCATCACCTCACGTTCACGTGTCACCAGGAACGTCAGGAAAACCCGGTCTGACGGAGTCCACGGAGCCTCACCTGGAAGGATTGCAATGAGCCGCCGTCCGGATCGATGACTGCGACATTCATCCTTCAAGGCTCATGGATGGCACTCCGCACGGCATGCCACGCATGGAGGTCATGCTTGGCGCTTCCCCGTGTCACGAATGAATGACGTGGGTTGGTTGAATATCATTGAAACATCATACATGGTATGTACATAGGTTGGCTTAGCTTGGACAAATTCTTGACTGAGGAGGGATTGAATGACAAACTGAAAACGGAGGAAACAAAAGGATGTAGTCTGCCACGTAGAGCTACAAGTAGTGTCTTCTGCTCGAAAATGTCACCACATGTCACCACCACCACGACCCTGTTTTCACACCCCGAAACTCTCCGAGATGGACAAGTTGAAGCATCGGATGAGCGTCAATCCAGGTGAAACCGACGTAGTCTGGCGACCGGGTACACAGCTTGTTCCACAGTTCTCGGAATTGCTCATGTATGGGATCCCCACAAAATAGATCCCCTGTATACTGTATACTGCCCTATTACGCAAAATGTCCGAGAAAGAAACATGAATGGGCCACCTGACACATCACACATCACTCACCTGAAAGATCTCCACAAAAGTTCTCTGAGGAATTGCTCAGGTATGGGTAGATCCCCACATCCCCACAAAATAGATCCCCACACCAATCCTGATCTGTAAAGTCAATCTGAACCCGAGAGGCCCAAGAAACCCACCACGAGGGCGGAGGGGGAAGCTCACGCCGGAAACGCACCTGGTGAATTGGTCTCCAAAAGGGCCCATCCGACGTCAATCCCAAAGCGCAACCTCCAAAAAGGGGTCTCAGCATGTCTCACCTCCGGTCCTCATGGTCTCGTCTGAAGACAAGTCATCTAACCGCCCCAAATCCTGTAAGTTGGTTCTTTCAGTCCAATGCGGCCAAGGCTCCCGCGCGCAGACTGCACTTGGAGAGATTGACCATCCACCACGAAGTCCACGGAATTGCCGTTGCTCCTGCAGGAGCACGAGATCCGTGTTGCAAACAGCGCGGAAGAAGGAGGCTGGAGCCTCGAACGAACGCAAGCCTGCAGGTTGAGCGAGGATGGCACTGTGGCAAAGACATGTGCAGCGAAAGGGCCATGTGGGCCAAGTGGACAAGGCTACACTATACAGTAGAGGGATCAACTTGGCAACTAGCACAAACGATTTTTCCCTCCAAAATGCTCTAAGGTGATTTTTTGATGTTTTTGGTGTATGTACATGTACATACCTGAATATAGAGTCCTTCAACTATAGAAATGCACTAAGAGCTTTCTTTCAAGCCAATGAGTACTTCACTGCATCCCTGTGCTGTGCCACAAACACACGGCCCACGACATCCGCGACCCAGTCCGCGACCCAGTCCCTATATGTCCCGGTCCTTGATGTACTGGTCACTGTAATATCCAGTCCGACAGCGCTGGAGATTTGTGCAATGCAAAGTAGGACGGACAACCTGGGGTGCTGCATGAATTCTGCGCGAGCAGCGCTTGAAGAGCTGTGAAGTCTAAAGCCTTTTCAATTGACATGATCTAGAACATGATCTGGCCGTAGAACATGGATATTAGTAGGGAGAACATTTGGACACCTTGACTGGATATGCAAAACACCTGTAGCTTTGGCACCTGTGAAGAAAGCAATAAGGCAACTGGCGGTCAAAGGAGTGTTTTCAGAGTATAAAGGGAGCGTCAAAAAATCGCAGCTCTGGGGGACAAATCATCGGACGTGACCCATATGACTCAGCTAAACGTAGAGGCTTTTGGGAGTCCAGGAATGGGCCCATTCTATGGCGACTTCTACTTCAAATCGCTTCTGCAAAAGCAGCTCTGGACGTGGCAAACCAGTCCAACCCATCCCATCTGTCCCACACCATCCACACCATCGTCCAGTGGCCACCGCATGGTTGGGTCCCGCTTTTTGCTAAAGACCCACCAAGAGCGGCGATGAAGCTGTTTGGCTGCGGAAGGAGTTGCACAGCTTCGGACAAAGGTCGTCCAGGGAGGTCTATGGTCTGATGGTCCTGTCTGGCTGCCAATTTGGTAAAAAAAGCCTCTTTTGTGAAGTATACATCTAGTGGCAGGCCTCTGAACCCGCTAAGACACCCGCCAGTCAGTATAATGAGTGGACCCCTGGGCCCTATTTCGATTCCCATCCCGGCAGACCTAGCTGAGGCGTCCAAACACCACCCCAAACGGGGTCTCCTGACTGATACATGTCTTACTCATGTGTTAAACTACTCTTGAAACGTTACCGCAAGTTGCTCTGGGAATTCTTCACCCACCATGATCGCCCATGACAAATGTGTCTTCCAATATGTTGTTCACATACCGAGACCTTCCCACAGGTGGATTTAGAAGCCTACTATTGAGCTTTTTGGGGGGGGGCACCAAGAACCACAGGAAACACCTGTTGTAAGAGTCCACGGAGACAAACCACAGAAAGCATCACAGGTGACCCTCAACATTCAACAACGTCCTCATGGTTGCTGGGACCCAACTGTAAGGGCCCCAGGCAACCCCTGTCAAGCCGGGCAAGCTGTCATTCCTGTCCGCTGCCTAGTAGGGCATGGGGAGCTAGTAGGGGAGTGGATCCTACAGTATCTATGTCATTGCGTCATTCAGATTCTGAGGCGTGTCACTCGACGGCGTCTTTCGTTCGAGGGGTGTTGTCTTTGTCCAGCGTCTCCTTGAAAGAGACAGCTGGAGGCCAAGACAGAAGAAAGAAACAGGGTGACACCACGGTAGGACCATGTTATTTTCACATCACTGGAATAGAGTGGAGGGAATTCTGCAGGAAGTCCCTCCACGTTCTTCCATCCCCGTCTTGTCAAGCTGGAAAAAGACATCGAAGCAAGCAAGCTTAACAGTTAGCTCTTGAGGTTTCTGCGCACAGACATGGCGCAAACAGAACTTGGTTCCCTCGGGAACCCCGAACCGTCGAACCCTTTTCACGCGTTTGCATTCCCAAACGAGTGTTTTGGAAGGCGTGCAACGTGGTCACTTTGCGGGGTCGACTCTTGTAGGAAGCGTTTCTTCTATTGCTTTGCTTCCATGGATGGTAAAAATTGACATGAAGCTATGCCCTCAAGCAATTTTTGTCCTCCAAAGAGTTTGGATGTGTCCAAGGAGTTGCAGGAAGAAACAAGGCTGTCAGAAAAAAGCGGGTGTTTGTTTGGACTGACGCCCAAACACATCAAATTTAGCGCGTGATCCTGGCTTGACTGTGCTCAGATCCTCTGCTTTGGTGGTTTAGTGCAAATAGGATCGAGGTCCACTGTAAAAACAAACGCTCCTGCCAGACGTCAGACTGGCCTGGTACCAAACAAACAAATAGAACCCGGCGAAGACTACCTCAGCCGCGTAGGCTTCGACGACGAAAGCGATTTTCAAGCTGCCCTGTGTCCGAGCTGGACGCATCCAAAGGATCTGACATGTATATAGAAGATCATTTCTGAAGTCCGCAATTCATAGATCCGTCCGGGGGAATTCTAGGTACAAACATAGACATGATGATATAATAGAGTGTCAATCCAGCACCATGATGTCTTGCACCAACTCTTCAAAATGAACCCTGCCCGACTCGGCTTGCACACCATCTCTGCTGAGTGATTCTTCAATACTTATGGAGCGTGCCTTAAGCGTCAAAAGCTCAAGTCAATGACCAAGGTCCCGAGGTCAACCTGTCGTTTGGTATGCCACAGAATTAACAAAATAAGCGCACACAATGAAATTTAGGTATATATATATAACAAACAATATGTATATATATATATGTATATTATGAATATGTTATACTATATTATGTTACATATAAATCTATTATCAACATGGTATGTCACCCTTTCGTATCGGAACCTCACAGGCAGACCACTCGCCACCCACCGTCCCGGACCGGAATGACGGCGTGTCGTAGACCGGCGGGCGACTCCCGCAGCACCCATCACGGCCCACTTCATCATCTCAAAGTAGAGGACAAAGCCTCCAAGTGTGGCCACATCCCAAGTGTGTCGACTTTGGAGGTGGAGAAGGAGGGAAGGAAGCACCGCATCCCACATAGTTTGAAGATGTTTGAAGCGTTCTTGGTTCTCGCGCATGGGTTTTGGTGCATGAGTCCACAGAGATGAGCCATATATAATTTAGGGGTGTCCAATGAACTGCCTTCTATCCATTGGTGCATCGTTGGCCACTCTTGGCCTCAAACTTGGCAAACACCACCAGCCCGGCTGAAATCATCCCACAACTTCTACCCTGTGTCTTCTTAGATCGTGTTGCTGCGCCGCAAGCCGCAGCCTGTGTCAGTTATCACAGTGAATAGATGAGTACTTCTGCATCAATTTCCAGCGAGAGGGAAACCCGCAATAGTAGCCGTTCAGTACATAATACATAACTACACCCAGGGACCTCGTGCCGATCTTCCCTATCCCAGAACATTCCTGGAACAAACAGAACCCCTCCATTACCAATGGAGTCGCTCCTCCTTTTCCCTGAGAACGGTGATGCAGGATGGGCCAATGAGCTTAGCACAGACTGTCAATGAGATTCAAAGACTCAAAGACAAAGGGCCACTTAAACCGTATGTTACCGACAACGGGCTTCTTGACCAAAACCGTGCCAAAAATAGGGCTTGACCGAGGGCCCTCTACTCCTGGACGCCTGGTTGTATCCCAGGATCGCACCCGAAGAGGGAACGGCACATCCCCGTCAAGACTGTTGGTCGAAATCTCAAGTGGTGGTTTATTCAAATTGGCCCCAAACTTGAGGGGCGCAACACAGTTTTATGGCCCAACCTGGCGATTTTCCCCTGCTCACTCTTGGAGCCACTGCTCAAAGCTGTTGACCAAACCCCTACACCTTGCGCTTGCAGCTGGCCTAGTGCACAGGCCATGTGCATGACGAAGAGGAGCACCTGGATGATGTCATGCCGTGGGAAATGGATCAACACATTACGCTTTCACATGAACATACCTTACAACCGTTTAACCTAGCAGCTAGGACCTTACTACTACTACTACTACTACTACTACTACTACTACTACTACTACTACTACTACTACTACTACTACTACTACTACTACTACTACTACTACTACTACTACTACTACTACTACTACTACTACTACTACTACTACTACTACTACTACTACTACTACTACTACTACTACTACTACTACTACTACTACTACTACTACTACTACTACTACTACTACTACTACTACTACTACTACTACTACTACTACTACTACTACTACTACTACTACTACTACTACTACTACTACTACTACTACTACTACTACTACTACTACTACTACTACTACTACTA